TTTGAGGGGTGAGATTAAGTTCCTGTGGGATTTCTGGGTGAAGATGTTTGAGAAGCAGTTAGGCATTAGGGTTCTGGGATGTGAGAGAGAGAGAGCTAGACTAGGCATCAAAATTTAGAAATTATTCAAGTGTAGCAGGTAGTTAATGCTATTAGAAAATAATTTTTGAAATCTCAAAGACTAATTTTTTCTTGCTTGGCAGAACTTTAAAAATTTGTATTCTACTTTCCCCCAGTACAGACAAGTGCTGCATTGGAAATCTTTGTACAAGCCTCTCTCTTTCCAGTGTGATATACAGAAGAGGGGTTGTGGGGTCAACGGGCACGTGCTTTCAACATTTAGATAGTTCCTGCCAAATTGCCCTCTAAAAAAAAAAAAATGATACTAATTTACTCTTCCACTGTGAAGGGGCACAAGATTACTCATTTACCCACTCCTCCCAGTACTGAAAGTTTGCCAACCTGATGGGCAAATAATGCCGTGGCATTGCGTTAGTGGCTAGACCAAGAATTTTTCATGTTTACTGGACATTTGCATTTCTTGGCCTGTGAATTCTGTGTTCTTGTTCTTTGGCCTTTTTACTCTTGTGTTTGATTTTTTCTTACTCATTTTTGGAAGGCGTCATATCTTTGCCTTCTCCACAGGCTCTTTCCTCATTTCTTGTTTTATTTTTCTCTGTAACTGCCATCTGACATACTATTTGTTTATTTTTTTATTGCCTGTCCCTCCCCGCACCATTAGAATGTAAGAATCAGGAGGGCGGGGATTTTGTCATTTGTTCATTCTAGTGTTTCCAGCACCTAGGACAGTGTCTGGCATATAGTAGGCACTCCCTAATTAATTGTTCAATGAATGAATTAATGGAGTGAATAATAACCTTTTTTTAAATAAATTTATTTATTTATTATTTATTTATTTTTGGCTGCGTTGGGTCTTCGTTGCTGCATGTGGACTTTCTTTATTTGCGGCGAGCGGGGGCTACTCTTCGTTGTGGTGCACGGGCTTCTCACTACGGAGGCTTCTCTTGTTGCGGAGCACGGGCTCTAGGCATGCAGGCTTCAGTAGTTGTGGCGCATGGGCTTAGTTGCTCCATGGCATGTGGGATCTTCCCGGGCCAGGGCTTGAACCCGTGTTCTCTGCACTGGCAGGCAGATTCTTAACCACTGTACCACCAGGGAAGCCCGAATAATAACCTTTTATCTGTTATTTGTTTTTCAAATATATTTTCCATGTTTGCACTTGCCCTTTTCCTTTGTTTATGGTGAGCTTGATCATATAGAAAGTTTTAATTTATATGATGTCAAGTCTATCACTTTTTTCACACGAGGCTTTTGAAGTCTACATTTTGCCTACCTCCCCTCCCCCTTTTTAAACATTGTGTTCCCTTTATTCACTTCTCCCACCTCCCACTCCCCTCCTCTGGCCAGCCATCAGTCTGCTGTCTGTATCTATGAGCTTGTTTTTTTTTTTTTTTTTTTTTAAGATTCCACATATAAGAGAGGTCATATGGTCTTTGTCTTTCTATGTCTGACATAATTCACTTAGCACATTGCTCTTGAGGTCCATCCATATTGTCACAAATGGCAAGATTTTATTCTTTTTTATGGCTGAATAATATTCCATTATATATACCAACCATAATTTCTTTATTCATCCATTGATGAACACTTCAGTTGTTTCTTTACCTTGGCTGTTGTAAACAATTCTGCAGTGAACATGGGTGTGCATATATCTTTTCAAGTAAGTGTTTTTGTTTTCTTCAGATAAATACCTAAAAGTGGAATTGCCGGATCATATAGTTCTATTTTTAATTTTTTGAAGAACCCGCATACTGTTTTCCATAGTGGCTGCTTCAGTTTACATTCCCACCAACAATGTACCAGGGTTCCCTTTTCTCCACATTCTTGTTATTTCTTGTCTTTTTGATAATAGCCATTCTAACAAGTGTGAGGTGATATCTCATTATGGTTTTGCTTTGCATTTCCCTGATGATTAGTGATGTTGAGCATCTTTTCATGTACCTATTGGCCATCTGTATTTCTTCTTTGGAAAAATATCTGTTCAGATCTTCTGCCCAATTTTTAATCAGATTTTTTTTTGTCTTTTTTTTTTCTTGCTGTTGAGTTGTATATACAGATTTAGATCATAGAATAAAATAAAGTCAGTGAAAAGCTGAGAAGGAAGGAATGAGCAGGCACATAAAAGAAGTAGGAATGAGTAGTATCCTAGAAGTCAAAGGAAAAGAGTTTTAAAAGGGAGGCAGTAAACTTTTGATTAAATATGGTGAATGGATCCATTCATAGTAAAATATTATAAAACACATAGGACACAAGGACAAAGAGAATGAGAGTAGAGACTAATTTTAGAAATATAAAATGATCAATTGAATGGTAAGAGATTTTGGAGGATGGGAAGTAAATTCTTAATGAATAAGAGGTTTTCTTTTGAGATAATGAAAATGTTTTGGAGCTAGATGAAGTTGGTGCTTCCATATTATTGTGAATATACTAAATGCTACTGAATTGTTCACTTTAAAATTAATACACTATGTGAATTTAACCTCAGTTTTTAAAAACAAGACCATATACTGAGGTATATGAAATTTAAGAACACCAGGGATAAAGAAAAGATTCTGAAAATTGCCAGAGAGAAACAAAGGATCTCATACTGTATTATTAATCATAATAAACTAAATTATAATATAGCAACAAATAAATCCTGAAATCATAATGGCTTAATTCAACAGACATTACTTTTCATTTATGCTACATGTCCATGGTGAGGGAGAACACTCTGTTCTATATTGTTACTCAGGAATCTAGGCTAATCTGAGCACACAGTTTCTAGAGTGGGCGGAGAACAAGTGTAGAAAAACCCTACTGTACTCTCTTTTAAATGCTTCGGCCCTGGCTAGAACCAGTCACATGGACCTTCCTGAGTGCTAGGGACTTGGAATATGCAGTCTTCTCAGGTGCCCAGAAAGGACAGGCAAACCAGGCATTGCTGAGCACAAGAAGCTTCTACAGTGCATAATGAGGAACAAGAGTCAGACTGGCATTAGACCCACCTTCCAGCATGAAGCTAGAAGATAGTGGAACAATGCTTTAAAAATTCTGAAGGGGGCTTCCCTGGTGGCGCAGTGGTTGAGAGTCCGCCTGCCGATGCAGGGGACACGGGTTCGTGCCCCAGTCCGGGAAGATCCCACATGGCACGGAGCAGCTGGGCCCATGAGCCATGGCCACTGAGCCTGCGCGTCCGGAGCCTGTGCTCCGCAACGGGAGAGGCCACAACAGCGAGAGGCCTGCGTACCGCAAAAAAAAAAAAAAAATTCTGAAGGAAAATTATGTCGTGTAGAATTATGTTATCTGTCAAACCAGTCAAATGTGAGGGTAGAACACTAACATTTTCAGAGGAACAAAGTTACAAAACCTTTACCTTCTACCCACCCCTTATCAGGAAATTATCAGAGGATATATTACACTAAAACAAGGGAATAAAACAGGAAGAGGAAGATTTGGGATCTGGGGGCAGGGGATCTTGTACAGGATACACCTCAGACTGGAGCAGGAAGATTAAAGGGCCGGGAGAAGGGAGAGACAGGGATATATAATGTGATAGACTGCCTGATATGTTTGAGGATATTGAGAGTTTTATGGTTCTATAAGAACTTGGGCTGTGTTTGAGATATATTTTTAAAAATTAGCAAAACAAAAGAGGGCATTGTAAGTTCCCCAAATAGTAAATGTTGTACAAGGAAAGAAATATAATTATCGCATATTATATAACTCAGGTATAGATAATAGTCATAATATAAATACTGATGACAGATGGACAAAATGTAACTCTTATGAGGATGATAATAGGATATGAGAGCATAATCATCTGTAAGAGATTGTCAGTAAATAATGCCTAAAATGGAAAAATTAAGAAATAGCAATGTATTATTTAGAAATATAAATGTAAATACCAGAAGAAATGGCTAAAAGTTAAAAGTTGTTGTTTGTAGGAAGTGATTTTTTCAAGAATGGAATGGAGTAGGACAGAGGATGGGTAAGACAGCTTATGTTACATATCTTGTAGGGTTAATGCCTTTTAAAATTATCTAAATTTATTACTTCGACTTCCTATTTTTCAAGGAGGCAGGAGCAAACAGTGCCACATGCTGCAAAGAGCCTATGTTAAATGAAAATTAAGAAAAGGAACCATGGGCTTTGGCAGATAGGTTATAGTGATCTTGGGGCCGTTTCAGTGGTTGAGTAATGGGTGTAGACCAAGTTGCAGTGAGTTGAGGGATAGAAGAATAGAGAAATTTCACATACTTCAAAGTGTAAAATGAAGGAGACCAACTGACATATAGAATCAGATAATGGTGTATACAGAATAGATATATTATCCTCCTGACTGAAAGGCAGAATATGAAAATCTGACCTTAAATAAATTATAAAGAAACTACATTATACATTTGCAGAGACTCCCCCATAAAACAAAAGCAAAAGTTTTTTTAAATTTCTTTCAGTAATTAGCTCTTCTAAAATTATTCATTTTACTGAAACATGTCATACAGGCATCTCTGCTAAATTGTGTCAATAGGGAAAAGTAAACTGTTGATATAATATAATTTGTATTACTTCTTTATTTAAATGAAATACCTTCTCAGAATTCCTTTATTTCAACTTAATATCCTTGATTTAAAGAAGGTTGCTTTGTTTGTTCTGAGTCCTTTTTTAAAAGTTCAAGGCTTTTAAAATAAGGTGAAAGCTAATGAAAACTGAAAGCAGTTCAGTTCCCTTACCCTCGGATTTCTGCATTAACCTGACTCATCTAGTATCATTCCAGTTCTCTTAGTTCCCCTTCCAGGTTCAAGTTTTTGTTCAAGCCTAGTCATGGGAGTAATGTTATCATCTTTAAATTTGGTCATGGAATGTGTTACACTGCCCAGCTCAGGGAAGTGCTTGCTACTCAGTTTGGGCTTCGATAGTAACATTTATTTTCTTTGGCAGAGAAGCTGATCGTCGAGGGGCATCTAACCAAAGTGGTAGAAGAAACAAAGCTTTCAAAAGGTTCGTTTTCTGTGGGTTTCTGTGGCATTTTTCTGTGGGTTTTGACAACTCTTTTGGATAATGAAGGTTAGTATACATTTCCAAGTTCATAGTACTTTAACCATCAATTTGTGTCTTACAGCTCACAAAATGGCAATCTAGTAACAATATCAGATAATAATATAAAATAGTTGGAGTTCTGTTTTAAGAAGGATATGTTCATCAGAAAGTTTCTTTTTAAATGGGTATATATGTGTGGGTTTTTTTTTAATGCTTGGAATAGGTTTCGTTAGGTATTAAAGATTTGTTGCAATCTCTCTGTCTCACTTCCAGCATTATTTTCAGCTTTGATCTCAAAATTTTAATCAAACGCAATGTAAATCTTTTTTGAAACAGGTGAAAAATGCTTGCAGTTCCATTTTGTTGGTTATCATACGTTTAATAGTCCTTATGATATTTAATATTATCTTAATTGTTAGCATTTCAATTTGACTTAAACAAAAGTGATTATGTAGAACCTTATATTTTTTAATGAACAGTCCTGTAATAGCTTGAAGTAATTTATTCTGTTGATTCTTTTCTGTTACAATTGTCAGGCTTAGAGAAGAAAAGTGAGTTTTAAAGCATCGTATTGTCAAGTCACTTTTATGTATAGGGAAATTGTGCAAATAAATTTAGTGGGATATGCTCATTATTCATTCTAGGACTTTCATCAGAAGAACATACCAGTATAAAATTTAAAACTAAATTGACAATCATTTTGGTTAGCTAAAACAATGAGTGATAAAAGTTTGCAATACTCCACTTCATTACGTTTTGTTTTATGAAAGTAACTGGATCCATTTGGCTTTTAAAAATATTTAAAAGGATAGTGTTATTTCATATATCTGGTGGCTTCCATTTGGAATTTTGTGCATGGCAGATGCCATATTTGGAGAAAGAATGCATAAAATATGCATCACTAATATTGTTCTGGCAAACAGGCATTGAGTTTCAGAACAGTGAACTATTTTTAGTACATATGGCAATTTATTTCATCTTATTAAAGTGAGATGAGAACAGATTTTAAAATAGCTTTTACTTCACCACCTAAATACCTATTCAGATTAGTTGGTTAAATAGCCAATACTTTGATGTAGAAGTAGAGCCTTAGAAAAAAATCAGTGCTTCTTATAATTAAAGAAAAGTATCTTGCTACCCAAGTGCTTCTATTTAATGCATTCTGAATTAGAATATATTTCCTTCAAATTATGTGATGTCATTATTGAAAAAGAAAATCTTATGATTTCCTTTTGAAATCTGGCTATAAAATATGTATTTAAAGTTTTAAAGAACATGCTTTTTGACCTAGCAATTTCACTTCCAAGTCTTTATCTTAAGGAACAAATTGGACAAATGTGCAAGTGCATTTGTTTGTGTTGTTTTAAAGGCAAAGAAAGGAAAACATAAGGGTCCAATAATAAGGGCATTTATTAAATAAATTATGGCAACTAACTCCATGCAAGTGAATAGAATACATCCTTTAAGAATGATAATACGGGGACTTACCTCGTGGCGCAGTGGTTGGGAATCTGCCTGCTAACGCAGGGGACACAGGTTCGAGCCCTGTCCGGCAAGATTCCCACATGCTGCGGAGCAACTAAGCCAGTGCACCACAACTACTGAAGCCTGCGTGCCCTAGGCCCCATATGCCGAAACTACTGAGCCCACGTGCTGCAACTGCTAAAGCCCACGCGCCTAGAGCCCGTGCTTCGCAACAAGAGAAGCCACCATAATGAGAAGCCTGCGCGCCTCAAGGAAGAGTAGCCCCCACTTGCCACAACTAGAGAAAGCCTGCACACAGCAACGAAGACCCAACACAGCCCCCCAAAAAAGAATGATAATACAGGGAATTCCCTGGTGGTCCAGTGGTAAGGACTCAGAGCTTTCACTGACCGGGCCCGGGTTCAATCCCTGGGCAGGGAACTAAGATCCTGCAAGCTGTGCAGCGTGGCCAAAAAAAGAATGATAAAACAGATGTTTTATATACCCAGAGATATTTCTATCAGCAGTCAACATTTTACTGGTACTTCCCACAGACAGCATGCAGAGGTACACTAATCCTTGTGACAAACTACTTGGCTGAAATAAATTACATTTTAAATGCTTTATATCTGGCTATACAGTATTTTCTTTTGGGTTTGGCTGGATTGTTTTATTTTTTAAATGCTTTCATTGCTGATGTTTTTAATGGAATGATATTTAAAACTGATTTTAAATATCAGTTGTTGGAAATTGCCAATTACCAGCTGTTACAAGTCTTGGTAGTATTTCCTTCAGGTATTGCACCTAATGAAAAATGTAATCATAAGTTGCGTATGCTTTCTATTTAAGTCCTAACTCAACTTGCAGTTTACAGTAGATTTCAAGGTGGAAGTAGAAAGAATACAGGGTAGGTCAAACAGTAGCTTTTAATTCCAGGTTCTACTAGTAACTAGCTATGTGCCCTCAGGCAACTTACTTTAGCTCTTTAAACCTCAGTTTCCTCATTTGTAAAATGGGATTGACAGTATATAACTTAGAGGATTTTGTGGGAATTTAATGAAATATTGCTTATAAAGCAGGAAGCACTGGTCCGTTGTCCAACAAATGTTAGTTCTCCTTTTTTTTTCCCCTTGACCCTTGACCTTGCTTTCTTTGCAAATAATGGTTCCAGTGGTGTAGGAAGTGGTCTGTGTTTGTCTTGCCCATCCGTCGTTATGTCTGCTTGAAGATAGTGAAAATATTCACCTTATTTTAGACTTGCCAGTTTGGGAACAGTTTTGGTATTGATGTTGGTAGACACTCCTCCATTTACTTCTATATACTATTGGTATGCATTTTAATGATTAAATACTGCACAGAAAATCAGCTAGTAAAGACTTTTAATACTGGAAAGTTGGGTGCTGCTTCGTAGCTGAAAAGTAGATGTTTTGAACAGTAGAGACTCTACCACTCATTTGTTGTGTCCTGTGTTTCATCTTGAATAGATTTTGTTTGCCTCTCCGTATAATAACTCTAGTATCAGGACACAACAATGGTGAACCATGACTTGACTTGCTAAAAGCTTGCCTTCTTACTCAAAGTAAAATTGTGTTTCTAATGGTCCTCTTTTTAGCGCACCTACTATGTACCGTGCACTGTTCTATGCAATGGGATTATAGCAGTTAACAAAACAAAAATTCCTGCACTCATGGAGCTTATATTCTAGTAAGATCTTAAGGGAAGATAGTCCCACCTCTAAGGCAATTTTACCTTCCTGGCTACTACTCCAAATAGGAAATAAAAGTTCCTTCTAAGACAGAAGAATACTTTTGAAAATGCGTTCCTCTTGGTTTACCTCTGTATCTTGATCATCAAATTGCCAAGAATATTAAAATTAGGAAAGAGTCATTTTTGTCTTTTCCTTTTTGTTCCCACAGTGGTTTCTTTTCTGTCTATATATAGACAAGATGTGTTAGCCTGCCTTATTTGAGACTGTAACTTAGTGATCAAAACTAGTACATTCAGAAATGTCTGACTATAGTACACTGTGAATGCACCAGAGGTCACAGATTAGATTCCCATGGACCTCAGTAATCAGTGACTTCACTTGTAATCAAAACTCACTGTCGGGGCTTCCCTGATGGCGCAGTGGTTGAGAGTCCGCCTGCCGATGCAGGGGACACGGGTTCGTGCCCCGGTCCGGGAAGATCCCACATGCCGCGGAGCGGCTAGGCCCATGAGCCATGGCCGCTGAGCCTGCGCATCCGGAGCCTGTGCTCCGCAACGGGAGAGGCCACAGCAGTGAGAGGCCCGCGTACCACAAAAAAAACACAAAAAACAAACGAAAAAAAAAACTCACTGTCTCTCCCCAGTTGGCCTTTGACTAGAAATGGCAGTGAGAAAGGAAGCAAAAGGCTTCTTGTAATCCATCACTCATTTCACAAATGAAGCCATAAGTTCTAATGTATTCTTATATGGAATAGCTTAGTTCTTATTCTTATATGGAATAGTTCTTAATGGAACAAGTTATATTTTAATATTAATTATTTTGACAGTATTGGTTTTAGATATGTTTCTGACTGTTTCTAAAATGAAAAATATCTCTTGATTAAGTTGATTATGAAAACAATTATATGTTCGCTATAATTTTTCAAACAATGTATAAAACAATGTGAAGTTAGAAAATAAATGTTCATCCCTACCTTCAGAAATGACCATGGTATCTCTGTTGTAGATCCTTCTAGACTTGAATGAATATATACAACAAAAAATTCATAGCTAAGTGTATAGCCATTTTCAGTCTAAAGGGGGTCATCTTATACATGGCTTAACAGACTTTAGTTTTACTTAGTAGTAGTGAATATATCTTGGACATTTTGCATTCCATAATGAACAATGCTGCAATGAACGTCCTTATGTATATATACTATATGTTGCCTATTATTTCCTTAGGAAAAGTACTAGAAGTGGATGTACACATTTAAATTTTTGATACAGATTACCGCAAACGGTATAGTTAAGTGCGTAACATTATAAAAAGTAATTATATGTTTAGTGAATTTATAATCTCACTGAGGAAACAAGATATATGTATACACAGAGAATGATATAAAATAGAACATGATTAATTATAAAACCCTATGTCCCAGAGAAGATAAATAAAAAGGAGCAACATGCTGGAGAAATGAAGACTTGCTTAGAGGTAATGGAGCTTAAGCTATGTCTTAATATAGCCTGAATAGGCCAAGTAGTGAGAATGGTCCTTTGAGTTTAAGGAAATATCAACTCAAGCAAAGAATTTCAGGCCTGTGGTTCAGGGACAGTAATACTTTCTTTAGATATAAAAGGCTGTTAATTTTCTTGTTTTAAATGTTACTTTTATAAAAGACAATGGTGATTTTTTTAAAAAGAGTTTTTATCATGAGTATAAATATTACTAAGGCAACCTAACTAGTGTTTTTATATAATAGAATCCTTTTCTTTCATCATCTTCATACAGTATCCACATTGTCCTGGGAATTTTGCTATATTTGTTGCAGGTCTCTGAATACTTTAGCAAAGCTTGCTTCATTTTTGTTTCCAGTTAGCCAGTGGACAGCCTTGAACAAAAGCCCCAGCCCTCCTCTACACAGCAATCATGATCCACATTATAATTTAATATGAGCTACGTGTAATAACCAGCATTCCATTTTGGACTAGAGTGGTGAAGAAGTAAGAGATTCAGTGATCTCAGTTAATTTTAAAAGTATTTCGCATACCAGTAGATTTAGAGCACTCATAGCCTGAAGCAGTTTTATTGATATAAGCTATTTAATTGTAAAGAGATTCTACTTTTATTTATTTATTTATTTATTTATTTCTTCTTAGAGAACCAGGCAAGAGCAAAGGAATCTGATTTATCAGATACCCTGAGTCCAAGCAAGGAGAAAAGTAGTGACGACACTACAGGTGAGTTTTAACCTAATATTTATAAATCTGTAGATGTTATTGTTACCTACCGAGCAGTTCAGGTATGCAGGTTAGTGTGGGTGGAGTTCTCAAAGTTTGTGTTTGGGGGAAAAAGCAATACTTCTGTTTATCAAGTCACTCCCTTGAATCTTGGATAAATTTAAAAACTACTTTCAATGATCCAAATACAATAGCTGTATAAATTTCAGTTTTTTATTTTGGTAATGATAGCTTGCTAATACAGTTTACTGTTTATAATTATCTTTTTTCCCCCCTTTGTAGACGCCCAAATGGATGAGCAAGACCTAAATGAACCCTTTGCTAAAGTGTCCCTATTAAAAGGTATTTTAACTTGTTTTTAAGACATTTTAAACCAGGGCATCAGATTCACCCTTTGCCACAAAATCATGTATTATATGATGTTTTAAGCTTTAGTTAAAACTAAGTTTTAACTTAAAAGATTAAGATAGGTTCTCTAAAGTATCAGGAACTAAAATTTAAAATGTTGATGTTGGTGCCAGTGCTTTCAAGAAAAACATTTAAGTTGTAAAATAGTTTGTATCAATCAAAGTTATATGAAGGCAAGGCAATAAGTGGTAGAATGTGAAATGCAGCTGTGGTCTTTTTGTGTTTACCTTGATGTCTCTGATAGAAACTCATTACCACTTTAATGTAAACTAAAAATAGATTAAAAATATTAACTTTCTTGAAAGAACTACCTGTTTGCTCTGTTATCATATGTAGCAGTTGTAAATTTCCTCATTTTCTGGCCCTCCTCATTCTCCAGTAAATATCCCCAGGTTCTTAGGACTCTTCTAGAAATTTTGGGTGGGGCTAAGATGAGCAGTGCATATAATAAATTCTTTCACTTGTGTCACTTCTAAATAAGAAGTACATTTATTTGATATTTACTTGTTTAGAATGAAATGGGTAGGAATTAAATTCGCATTTATAAAAGTGTTTTTAAAATAAAGTGCCTGGGGGTGGCTTATTGATAAACTTGTGATTGTCATCATTTAATCTTCCTTTTTTTTTTTGCAATCATGACAAGAGCTGCTACACCGAAGATTCACTTTTAAGTGTTTTGATCCATTTCTCATTTAGAGAAAATTATTATTTTTTACATCTTTATTGGAGTATAATTGCTTTACAATGTTGTGTTAATTTCTGCTGTACAACAAAGTGAGTCAGCTATATGTGTATACATATACCCCCATATCCCCTCCCTCTCCCACCCAGCATTTAGTCTCTTTTATAATTGCCTTACTGTACACAAGAAAAGTTGACATATAAGTTCAGCTCACTAGGTTACGCATTTTAGTAGCAGTGGACCAATACCAGGCAACTCTTGGAAATTAGCAGCAAAAGCAGCCTGTGGAGGTTTCTTTGTATAGAAATGCCTTTGCTTCTGGCTGGGCTATTAAGGGATCTCCCAGTACAGACCCTAAGTTTTGGATTATATAAGGAAGCCTTAGTTTCACCCTGCATGATCCTGCTGCTCTCCTAGTTGTATAATGATTGGGATTGGGGTTGGTTAACCAAGAGATTACCCAGATTCTCTCGAATTCCTTAGTCTGGGCATCATGGCCTTCTCTTTTCTCCCCCATGGACACTGAAGCTGACATGGCTCTTTGAGGCACCTTTGACTGAATTCCCGTACCAAGGGAAGCCCTGAGGATTACTGGCCCGGGCAACCAATTGCCAACCTGTTTTTAAGTATGATAATAGTTTCCAGTATTCTTATCGATCCACACTCTTCTCAGGTGACCTTTGGTGTTTACGAGACATGCCTTTTTTCTAGTGTGGTAATAATAAATCTAATTTAATGTGTGTACAGGCCAGAAATCTCATCTTGGAGCATTTCTGATTCTTCTCAGAAATGTAAGACCATTAATGCATAGAATGTTTTTGCTGATCCTGAAAAAGTTTGGGAACCTTGGGCCTTTGGGGGACACACAGAAACAAAAAGGAGGTGAATGAGGAAGGGACACCCGTCGTAAAGAAGTAGCTGTTCTTATGATCTTTTTTTACTGTAGAAATTTCCCAGAAAGCTTTTCAGCAGCCAAATCCAGATTGATTTATAAGTAGTAATTTTTTTTTTTTAGAAAAAAACAACATCAACAGGAGTTTAATAACATGTATACCTCCTGTATACAAGGGAGATACCCAGGAAAACTGAGTAACTCCTGTAAATAGTGTTTATGATTGTGTTAATTATATTCAACTGCTTTAGTGCTTTTGTAATTTTATGTGTCCATCTGCTTTAGATTTTATTTTTATCCTCTTCCCTACCACAATGCCATATATTTGGAAAAACTCAGATGTTTGTTGAATGAATTAATAATAGACCTCTTACATCAAAGTTATAAAACCACAAGAGCATTAGGAAAGTGACAGGCTCTAGCCAAGAGGCTAAGAGCCAAAGATCTCTGAGTTCTGACCCAGCTCTGCCATTGATTTGTGGGTTGTTTTTTTTAATTCACTTATTTATTTATTTGGTTGTGCTGGGTCTCACTTGTGGCATGTGAACTCCTAGTTGCAGCATGCATGGGGGATCTAGTTCCTTGAGCAGGATTCAAACCTGGGCCCCCTGCATTGGGAGCGTGGAATCTATTGCACCACGAGGGAAGCCCCTGCCATTTATTTGTAATATATCCTTGGGCAAATTGCATAACCCCTCTGTGCTTCAGTGTTTTTCGTTTGTTGGTTTGGGGAAAACCAACTTCATAGGATTATTGTGAGGATTAAATGAAACAGTACAAGTAGATTGCTTAATATGTTGTTGGGAACATAACATGTTAAGCCCCATAATGAAGATACTGATAATAATAATAATAATGATGGTGATTAACAAAGGCACACCTATCTGGGGACTTCCCTCGTGATGCAGTCGTTAAGAATCCACCTGCTGGGCTTCCCTGGTGGCGCAGTGGTTGAGAGTCCGCCTGCCAATGCAGGGGACACGGGTTCGTGCCCTGGTCCGGGAAGATCCCACATGCCACAGAGTGGCTGGGTCCGTGAGCCATGGCCGCTGAGTCTGCACGTCCGGAGCCTGTGCTTCGCAGCAGGAGAGGCTACAACAGTGAGAGGCCCACGTATCGCAAAAAAGAAAAAAAAAAAAAGAATCCACCTGCCAATGCAGGGGACACGGGTTCAATCCCTGATCCGGGAAGACCCCACATGCTGTGGAGCAACTAAGCCCGTGCACCACAATTACTGAGCCTGCCCTCTAGAGCCCGCGAGCCACAACTGCTGAGCCTGTGTGCCACAACTGCTGAAGCCTGCATGCGTAGAGCTCGTGCTCTGCAACAGGAGAAGCCACCACAATGAGAAGCCTGCACATTGCAACGAAGAGTAGCCCCTGCTCACCGTAACTAGAGAAAGCCCATGTGCAGCAACAAAGACCCAAAAAAATAAATAAATAAATTTAGTTTTTAAAAAAAGGCAAACCTATCAGTTAAAGGGTAACTTTTCATTAATTAAATAAGATTGTGGGATTTAAAAAAATATTTCCTACTTTATCTTTTAGGGAAAAGCAGTTGTTGGTTGTGGATCTTTTCCAGTTAATAATGTATTAATTTGTTTACTTTGCCAGATGTCAGGGCAAAATTTTTTTTAATCCTTGAGTACAACAGGAAGGCTAAATTATATCTGTAAAAGTGCCCATGATATAGGCTAGAGAATCAGACTCAAGGAAGAGGGTATAAAAGGGGAAGCTGTAGGAGATAGAGACTGGAAAACACAAGGTGTATGTGGAAGGAGGGTGGGTGTACGAATGCTACTGGTAATTGTTTGGAGTGCCATTGATGAAAATAGGTTAGTTTCCCTAACCTTGCTTTCAGTTAAGGTGACAAAAACAGAACCCACAAACTTTCCTTACATTTCTGTATGATTGCCAACTTTTGTTTAATGAAGTGGTATTTTTATCAACACCTCTTGAAAGATTTTGCAACTTGATTTTAAGAATAGAATTGTTGGGCTTCCCTGGTGGCGCAGTGATTGAGAGTCCGCCTGCCGATGCAGGGGACACAGGTTCGTGCCCCGGTCCGGGAAGATCCCACATGCCGTGGAGCGGCTGGGCCCGTGAGCCATGGCCACTGAGCCTGTGCGTCCGGAGCCTGTGCTCCGCAACGGGAGAGGCCACAGCAGTGAGAGGCCCGCGTACCGCAAAAAAAAAAAAAAAAAAAAAAAAGAATAGAATTGTTAAATCAATCAGTAATTAGATAAAGAAAAATCACCCATTAGAAGCGGGAAATTTTAGAAGAGTCTCCAAGAAACAGTCATAATAGCCCTAAATGGTTGTTTCATCCATTGTTTTTCTTTGTAAGAGTTGTGTAAATTCTTTTTTTTTTTTAAATAAATTTATTTTTGGCTGCATTGGGTCTTCGTTGCTGCGCACGGATTTTTCTCTAGTTGCCGCGAGTAGGGGCTACTCTTTGTTGCGGTGTGCGGGCTTCTCATTGCGGTGGCTTCTCTTGTTGTGGAACACGGGCTCTAGGCGCGCAGGCTTCAGTAGTTGCGGCTTGCATGCTCAGTAGTTGTAGCTTGCTGGCTCTAGAGCACAGGCTCAGTAGTTGTGGCACTCGGGCTTAGTTGCTCCGCGGCATGTGAGATCTTCCTGGACCAGGGCTCGAACCTGTGTCCCCTGCATTACCAGGCAGAGATTGTTAACCACTGCGCCACCAGGGAAGTCTTAAATTCTTTAAAATAATGTATTTACTGACATTTATGAGAAACACTTGGGTTATGCTTGAGTGTATGTGGTTATGTTTTGTTGTCTGTGTAATTAGATTCACTAGACTGACACAATTTTTCTCTTAAATGAAGAATATAAATTATTAGACCACAGTGTTATTGACCTTGAGAGTTGTAGAAAGTAGCCCCTTTATTTTATTCATTGAAACCCTATGCCTGGCTTCTTGAACCATTATTTTCAAATTTTATTATTTCCTTTTTAAAAAACAGCCAATCTTTTTTTAGAATTATAATGTGCTACCTGTCATGTTAGTCATCTAGGGTTAGGAGAAGAATCTAAAGTAGATTAAACATTCACCATGAGATATTAATGAAATGATGATAGCAGTAGTAATTTTTCCTGAAATATTATTTTCAACCAATTTATGCCACTTTTGAGAGAAATAAAGCTGTGGCTTGATCCACAGGTTTTTATATGCTTGAAATCATTTCCCCCAAAAAAAAGACAAAAAGAAGACTGGAATTCAGTCCAAGCAGTGTCTAATGCAAGTTTGCTCTATTTAGGGAACTGTGCCAGAGACTCCAGTGGTTTCAAAGTCTAATAAGACTCTCTTTGGGACTTGAGGAGTTTCTAGACAAATTGACTA